GCCGGCGACTGATCTGCCTCACCCAGGAAGAGTGCAATGATGGTGCCAACTTGGGCCAGTGAAGCAACGTCCTCCACAACTAGACTGAAAGAACAAAAAGACAGCAACTTGTCGTTCCTCTTACCCCAATTCCCCAATAAAAATCTTTAAAAAAAAATGTGTCTTGCATTTGATTTTTGAAAAGGAAAATCATTCTGTTTTGCTCAGTTAAGTTATGGAAAACTGTGGGAATGTGGAAAACTAAATGGAGTCTATAAAGGAAAGCTTAGATAGAGTTTCATTCAATTTCCTGAGGAAAGTGTTAGCGTACGTGACCTCTTCAGATAACTATATGAAGTTAACTCTAATAAAATGAATTCAAGTAGTTCATGGTTTCAGAGATAGCCTTAATTCTAGGGAGGTCAAAATAAGGTGATCGGTTCTCTGCCATTCAATGATCACTCTTATCAAAGGTGGGAGCTGTATGTGGGAGAAATGCTAAATACCTGATAAGACCTATGCCTTTAAATATTTAATAATCTACTACATTGGAAATCAATCTCCACATTTTCATTCATGCTCTGCTGTTTGTAGAAAGACAGAACTTTGTGTTGTGACCTAGCCCTCCTTCAAATTCAGTTAGCTGGGAAGAAAAAAAAGGGGAAGTAGATGGGCCTTTGTTTTCTAATAAGAGTGTAAAAATTCTAACTCAATCTGAACTTTTATAAATAAGACCATCTTAAAAGTGGTCAATGTAGTGACATTTGGATGTATCCTCCTTGGCCATTCACCACCTTGAACTCATTTTCCAATTTTTCTCTTATTTTCTATACTCCTATTTTCAGTTGTACCATTTTGGGAAGTATATTTGATCCATAGGAATAGAAACGAAAATAGAAATGCCTGTGTACACTTGCTTACGCTAACTATCGCATTCATGTTACCCCCAGGCACTGAAGGAGCAGTATTCGGGCACTCAGTTGAAACACCTCACATCAGAGCAGAACCTTCTCAAGACCTCAGGTAAGTCCTGCCTCTTATCTCGTGTCATTGTTTCCATCACTCTTGATCATCTTTGATATATAAAGAACTAAAATAGGAAATGTGCTACGTACCTCTATAAAGAATCAAAATTTCCTGCCTACATGATAGATAGTCAAGTATTTGATGAAGGGCAAGAAAATGTGTGTTATTATTATTCCAAAAATAAATTTTGTATAGTTGTTTCTGTAATAAACATCCAATGAATATAAAACTAAATATATCAGACAGGAGGAGTGTGGAAAAAGAAAGGAAAAGGCAGTTATAGAGGACCTTGAGAGAAGGATTGATAAAATTAAGGATGCCAGAAAACCTGTCATAGACAATGAAATATATGGAGTGCATAGCATAGCCATAAAGAAAAGAGGAGCAGAGATTAGGAGAATGCTAGTAATGGCCATTTAATGATATGTAGAGGGAAATAACAGAAACAAATATAAATGGTAATCAGGAAAAAGCAGAAGTTAATTGTCCTGTGAGAGAATCTGTAATCTAATATTTCCAACGGAATAAGCAGCTTCCTGATATTGTGTTGTTTCTAAGAGGCACAGTTAGTTATATGTAAAGTTTTCACTACCCAGAAGATGATGAGATAACAACATTATAGGAAATTCTCCCCAGAATAATTGTAGCAACTGTTGATAAAAGTTAAAATATTAAAATACAGTAACTGATCCAAGGATTTTCTTAATTTGGTAAATACATCAAGCTTTAGGGATAAAAGATACTCTATATAATTGAGTGTGGTGATCATTTCACAATATATGCATATATCAAATCATTATATTGTGCACCTTAAACTAATACAATGTTACATGTCAATAAAAAAGATATTTATATAAATCATTTCTGACAGGTAAATTACATTCTAAAATGCATTTGCTATGGTATTTAAAAAGATAACAATATTGATATTAAAAAAATAAATCAAATATTAAAATCATTTTAAAGCTGAATCAAAGTATCAACCTGAAAGAATCTTTGTCTTGAAAAACACAATAAAAATATTAAGCAATAAATAAATAAATAACCAGAAAACAAAAAACATTTTATTTATAAAGATCTGTTTCAGCCCCTCTCATTTGATGTGTGGGATAAGTGGAAAACTGCTCAAATGAAAATAAAAAAATAAAGTTGAAAACACTAAGGCAAAAAAAAAAAAAAAAAGGCCATGCTTTTAAAAGAGTAAAATTTGCAGACTTTTAGTTCTATGATAAAATTTCATAAAGTACTCAGTTTCTCATTAGTTGAGAAACCCAGATCCAAACAAGCTAGTTAATTTAAAATAACAGGAGAAGGTGGCCGTGTTCATACAATCAAGGCATTTTTTAAGATAACAATATTGATTATATACTCTATGGCAAAACCCCAAGGATTTAGAAGGGTTGAAGAATATGTGTAAATAGTGTCTCATAATGTGTTACAGTCTTGATTTATGACTCTTCTCAGTTAGGAATTTAACATTTTTGTTAATTTATTTATTTTATACCTCTCCACTTAACAAGGTTATATGTTAAATTAGAACACTATCTGCATCTTCCTTGCTTATCTTCAGTGCTGTAGCAACCAGCATGGTATCTCACATATAATAATAATCTGATAAATATCTGTCAATCTGAATTACTGAAACTTAGCAAAACTGAATAATGAAGACACTACTAAATGCATAAAATATAAGGAATGTGGAAGCATCTGTTATTGTATTTCTAAGACACACGTGACAAACAAGGATTCCAGTTGTTTTTGAACTGTGTTTCAATACAGATATCAAAGTTTGATGATACACTCAATAAAAAAAATTACTAATTTCTAAAAGAAACATGTTTTACTTCTAACATTTAGCGGCCATGTACTCATTTTATGATTTTTGTTAAGAAATCTATTACCAAGGAGTTTGAATCTTGAATTTTGAATTTTGAGGAATCAGGACCAACTGCTATTTTAATTATATTGCTGACATGTCTCAAAATCCATGTGTGAATATGACTTAAATCATAATTAGTATATAATATTTCTAGGTTTTATTTTCTAAATATTTGTCAATTATTTAGCCATTGTGCTAAACTAGGCATATCTGCCGGTGCTAAAAACAGAGTGGTAACCCCTAAGATAAGTACTGATCTAAATCCCAAAACTGAAACAGAAACAAAGCACAGCAATGATGGGGTATTCAATTATTCATTCATGTACTGAAGATTAAAAGCAGAGTGTCTAAGAGGATCTTTACAAGTCTTGCTGACAGTTTTATTTTTTTCAGGGCAATATGAAGTACTCTTAGTTGGCAACCTATGTAATTCTAATCAACAAGGTGTGATGGGTTGGCCTAGTAAATAAAAGGATAATTTGGGGAGTGAGTAGCCACATTGTCTTTGATTTTGTTCTGTCCAAATATAAAAGGCTTTAAAAAGGAACATTTCAAAAGTTTATTATAGAGTATAGGTGATATTTTTGTGTGGAAATGTAGTAGATTTCTAGAATCTATTTGTTTACTAGATGTTTGATGAATGCTTCGTATATGCCAAGTTTTGTGCTAGTTTCCTTGTGCATTTTAAACCTACACATTCAGATTTTCTTTAGTTTCTTATATAAGGTGACAATGCTTTTCAATGGGGACCTACGTGTTATAAGGCTAAAAAAATGTATGTTTAATGGTCAGTAAGGAGATAATGGCATATTTGCCTGGAATAGTCCACATATAAATGTTCTTCCTCTTTTATTCCTTAAATTAATTTCTACATAAATAATTGCAATTCAGTAGGGTTTCTTCACTCTGTGGTAAGAAGTGATGAAATCCATTATATAATGCCCATTGCCCAAAGATTGTCTGGATATAAGTTCCATTAACTGTTCCAAGAATAAAACAAGAATCTTGACTAGAAATCAGTAAAGTGAGTTAATATTTAATGATATAATTGGCATGTTTTCATCATTTCCATTTTTGTGTGAATATGATTTAAAACTGAAATGTTGAGGTTCACAGGTTCCAAATTACTCCCTGAAATCACATTGCTCTAATTTATATCACTCCTGTGTTCAAGGAAAAGGCCCCATTTATTAAGCAATTCAGGACTTTTTCCTGAGAAATTTTATCAAAAAGGAGATAAAATACTTTCCTGATATTTTTCTGCCTATGAGAAAAAAATAATAAAGTGGTATTTTTCACCTCTTCTCTCCTCCTTTCCCCACCCTTCCCCACCCTATCCTTCCCTTCTCTTCCTCTCTCCTTCTCCCTTCTTGCAACCCTCTCATTCCTTTTCCTCCCTTTTATTCTGTCGCTCTATATATGTATTTATGTATTTATTTAGAGTTTAAAAGCAAATGAGCCTTCTGAGATGCTTGCATTAGCTTGCAATCTTAGGAACACAAAAAGACAGTTGATCAAGAGATTTTTTTATCTAATTTGAAGCCGGAGACCTTAATGGGATGAGCTAATGAGCAGAAAACAATAAAAATGGAGGAAACAAAACAATGTGATTTGCACCTGAAGAAAGCTCACTGTAGCCTGAAATGATGACAGTAAAATTTCTGATATGTTCAAGTCACAGTTTGCGTTGATTTTTTTTCCCCTTAAAACACTTCTGTTCAATTCTCTAGTCATTCCATCATTGAAGCTGCAAATAATTAATGAATGCCTCCTATTTCTCTGGAATTAAATATTTAGCAAGAACAAGATACATGATACTTAAATTCTGCTTAAGTTTATATTTAGTAATTGGTCTTGCAACTTAGTGTAAAAGAAGTCTGAATTCTTTTCTCAGAATGTTGAGAATTCTGCCAGAGACCTAAGCCACTCATTTTCAAATTTGAGAACTGCATACCACCTTAAAAACAAAATATTTCTGCATCACTGGTATGTAAACACCATAAAAACAGAATTGCTTGGAAAAAAAAACAGGTGGCAGGGTGACTAAGGTTCAACATGAATCCTTCTGTCTGCTCTAATTCCTGGGTACCCACTACGAAAACTGAAATTCATCGCTGTGATTGTGATAATGCTTTCAAAATGAACGCTTTTATAGTCTATAGTTCATACTTTGAATGAATAAAATGGGAAATTATGTTCTGAATTTCCTTCTAATTTTCTGTTGAATATTACAGTTGGTGAATTCTTTATTAGTTTTAATATTTTGAATAGATAAAACTGGGAGTTATTTTTGCACAGTTAGTTAAGTATTTAAAATATTAAATACTTAATTTTATACAGTATGACTAGTCAATTTATTATTATTTATTAAATAATCTACCATTTTCCAACACAAAATGATTGCTACATTTGTCAGATATTAAGTTCTCATACTTTCCATCTGTTTTAAATTGTGTGTTCCATTGACCCAGTTTCTATTTCTAATTCCAATATCACTTTAATTAAAATAATTTTATACTAAATTCTAATTTTAAAACGAAAATATGTGACTTTATATTCATTTAAAAAACCTGATGATTGTCACACCTACTTTTCTCCTCAAAATATGTTGACACAATATTTTAAGTTTCAAGAGAGTCTATGGAGATTTTTGTTGGGATTTTATTGCATATGTTTATTACTTTTTGAAACATTGTAAATCTCATGATATAGAACTATGTATGAGTTTATTTTTACCCAGGGTTATCTCAAATTCTTGAATTTCTGGGTAAAGTAAATAATAGCAGAAGTCCTTTCCAGACACCCCTCTCTCTGATATAATTGTAAAATAGACATTAAATAATATAGCATTTATATTAATATAATAATTTAGCAACAGGAATTCTATATTTTAGAAGTATACTTATATGTCATCAATATTCTTTATTGCACATTAATGGGGTTAACGACAGTCAAACATTAGCATCAATGAACAGTTTTCCTATTTAGAATACCACAGCATATGTAGTAGGCTCCATAGGTCAGGGGTTAGAGCACTGGTCTTGTAGAATACCACAGCATAATGTTTTACAAATTTTACAGAAAAAGTAGATAATCCTGTAAGATCTGAGACTACCCC